CTCTGACATTCTGTGATTCTGTGACTTCTATCTCCCTTCTTTGGCTGTTGCCATGCTTTCCTTCCACCCCCACATGCATGTATGTTTACAGATAGTAATCAGGAAATTTTGCTTTGAATGACCACACACAGCTTAAGAAAGGGATGCTAATTTCACAGCACCTGTGCATGCCCAAAAGTTCAATTGTTTCATACTGTTAGAGACAGTGTAATCCCATACCTTTACTTTGGAGTTTTCCAGTTCCTCTTTCAGTGCCAGTCTCTCCTTTTCCCATTCCTCCAGGGTACACTTTCCTGCTTCCCTTTCCTTTTGCTTGAGCATCCTTGCCAGCTGTTGATTAAGATCCTGCACATCTGCTTGATTTTTGGAGTTCCTCTGGCTAAGTTCTGTATTTTCAGAGTCCAGCTGCTGGTTTCTGGTCTTCAGATCTGCTACCTGAATGGGGACAGCAGTGTCAGTTATGACTGCTTTTACACTGGGGATGAGATTTTTAGAGCATTTCCTTTCTATTAAGGTGATTAAAAAAACCATGACAAGTGTCACTCCAATTCAATGGTGACTCTGGGCAGTGGGACACAGCTGCTGTTAACTGTCCTCTGCGTAGCAGCGGTGACCGCAGTAGCACTGCTTTATTTCCCTAGAGCTGTTTAATTTGCTCCATGCCCTGATTTTAGGCCAAATCGAGTAGAACCGTATTTAGGAGCAGGAATCCTCCTGATGACCTGTTGCATGCACGGTCAGCCTCACAAACTTAATTTCTCATAACTGGCCTCAATTGTAGCAGTTATGATATCGGTCATCTGGCACTCCACGCTGTTCCTCCTCCCCTTTGCCATACTGATGGATATTTTGAGGGTTATACTGTTGAGCTAGTAGATGATTCTGAGCAAGTAGAATTTTATTCAGCAATATTAAGAGGGACATGAATGTAAGAGCTACTTAAACCTTCTACTTTGCCTAGCATAACAAGCCACCGTTAAAATAAAAGTAGCAGCCTTGTGGATATGAGCAAAGGGTCACAACTGGCAGCATTCCCAGACCCAGCTAGCTGGGAAATAAGTAGAGGCTGAGTCACATCACCTGAATTTCCCACGGGCTACTGCAGAGCATTACCCACGAAGACTACAAAAGGAAGATTTTAACTTTATATTTCTACTAAATAAACCTTCCAAGCTGACTACGGAAAGCGCTCTCAAGTCTGTAAGCTAGCCAGTTACAGTAACGTTGCAGTTGTCCTCTACTCAGGTCAAACAAGCCTCGTATCAATCCCAAGAAGTTAACAAGAACAGTTATCAAGAAATTTAAGTGTATATAATGGTCATTTTCTACTGCCTTTGTGACCAGCTAAGGAACAGCTTTTCTAGAGTGATGGTTTCTCCAGAGAAGGTTAGGGGCTCACTATACCTGCTTTTTCAGGTTGTCAACCATCTTCTGTACAGCCACCTTCTCCTTTCTCACAGCCTCTATCTTTTGTCTAAGGAAAAATAAAAGCTCATTAACGTTAGGGTCACTTCTTACTATACACACAGCCTACAAGAACGGGCTGGTTTCTGACATCGCCAGAAATAGTAATTCTGGATATATATTTATTGCTTAGCATCACTCTTTTGCACAGGCTTGGCAAGTGCTCAGTTCCTCAAGGCACCCCCACCCCATGTTGTGCTTTTCTAGAGGTGAAGAATACTCCCAGGATTGTGGATGGTTACCTACTTGCAAAAGACCAAATCACTGAAGTGCTTTCACACTGGACCTCCTCCTGCCTTTTCTAAGGCTACACCAGCCCAACAAGCTCTGCCTTTGCTGAAGCAAGAATTGCATCAGGTCAGCTCATAAGTAGGGCCCGTGTTCATATGTTACTGGTTCATCTGAACTCCTACAGTTCAGCCCCTGCTTTGGCTCTAGGAAGGGGCAGGACAAGCTGGGGCAGGTGAAAAGGATGAGGAATAGACTTTCAACCAGCTGGATTTCCAATGGCACCATGAAATAAGCCCATTTCAAGCTTTGCAGAATATCTAACACATGAAGGAGCTTTGAGAAAAGGGATGTAACAGTGAGAGCCTGAAGGCACACACATGGTACATGCCCCATTGAATTCTTACCTCATTTCTTCTCGGGATCCGTTTAGCTCCCTCAGTTTCAGGCTGGAAGCACTGCCTTCCTCATTTAATAAACTCACTTCATTTTTGAGAATAGCATTTTCTTCTCTGAGCTTCTCGGCTTCACATCTGTGGCAGAGACATGAGACAAGTGAAAAAACTGTTTCTGTATATTGTCTAACCCCACAGGGAAAAAAATTACTCAAAGCATAAAGCTACCTGTAATATTTCAAAACAAAGCTGCAATTGACTTATTTTATATATGAACAGTATATGGATTTTAGATTTCATTTAGTAAGAATGCTTCCCCAGATCACTGAAAAAGGGGCTTTTTTGTGCATGTTTTTGTACAGCTACAGTTAATTAAAATCCAAGATACCTAGTAAAAGTTTTACACTAATATTGTACCATACCTTTCAGTCCTTGAGTTACAAACAACATAACTTTAAACAGCTTGACACCACAATATGCAGACTGCTAGGAAAGCAAACTGTTTCCCCAGCTCCTTCTAGAGCCCAGTACGCTGGGAACAGCCTCTTCTGTCCCGAGGCAAATGGTGAGAAATAACTTAGCCATGGCGTAAAGAACAATTTCCTGCAGGAAGCTGGTGCAGAACAATAATTAAGCCACTTGTAGCCACTTTATGGCCTCCAAGAAAGTCCTTGCTGAAATACAGCAGTTAAAAATACCTATGTAACCTATTATGTTCTCTGTGTTATAACGGTATTTACCAGATCACACACCTGACACATTCCTAACGCTAAGTGCTCCTGCTGGGAACGAGTTACTCTAATTCTCTAATATTAACTTAAATATCAAGGAAAAATAAAAGCACTTTTAGTATTCCAAGTAACATTCAGTACTAGAAGGGAGCAAACCAAGTGTGGAGGTGAGATTAGTAAAAGCTAAAAGCATTCTGGAAGTTTTACCGTAGTATTTTGGACATAAAAATACAGAGGTTTCTGCTGGACCGCAAACTACATCCACAGACAGAACAGATGGCAGGTCGCTCCTGTTTTGCCATTCATGTTAGGTCACGGTCAGAGAGGAGTAAGTCACACACATTTATTTCAACTGTCGTTATCCATGATTAATGTCAGCTTGCTAGGAGTTAAGAGTCCAACGCACTGTTTTCTAACCAAAGTTAAACTACAGCGGTTAATGCAGCAGCCGTACGGCAGGCAGGCGGCTACGAAGCGATGAGTGGGATGCTAGGTTAGTTTCTAAGCGGCACGTTCGATTACTGTGGGGCTGACAGGTTTCCCACAAAGTTGTGCAAGTGTACGTTACCTCAGAAGATCAACTTTTTGCTGGAGCTCGGTGCACGTGCTTTGTAAGCCGTGCGTCACTGTATTCCTCTTCTCTCTCTCTTCATGGAAATGCTTGTTGTTTGGGTTAACCAGACCAGCAGCTTTCTCCCTCAGCTTTCCGCTGGGCTCTTGCAGCTCCTTTTTTTGCAGCGGCATGCTCTCGCTTTGGGCATGCTTGTCTTGCTGTCCTACGATTCCTTGTGCAAGTTGTTCTTGTACATCTTCCAATTCTTTAACTTTTTGGAGGAGCTGTGTTTTCTCCTCTCTGAGCTTGATAATTTCCAGTTTACTTTCTTCTAGTTTGCAGTGAAGGTTTCTCAGCTTACACAGGTTATCTTCTAGCACTTTATTTCTTTCAACTAACTTTATCATTTCAGATTTCAGATCCTCATTTTCTACCTGAATTGCTTCTTGTAGTGACAGAAGTTTAGCCTGTGCCATTGATCTGTCTTGTAACTCTTCAACCCTTTTCCAAAGCTGAGCTATTACACTTTTCAGGTCACCATTTGTTGACCCAGGAGCATGATCAAACTGGAGAGAGGTTTCACTCAGTTCTTCACCCTTCTCAAGCTCAACTTGCAGCTTCAAAGCATCAGAAACAAACCCTTTCTTTTTGGGAGTTATTCTGTGATTTAGCAGATGAATCTCATGCTGTTTAATATCATTGTGTAGCATTTTTGGTCTGGGTACTCTCTCAAGAGTTTTCTCGAGATCTCTCTTTTTTTGCAGCAGAGGCACCTGAGAAAGCAGCTCTTGATTCTTGTCACAATCCTGACTGCCATCAGCTTCCAGTGCTGCTGTACTTCCTTCCAGCTGACACATCTGTACCTTGAGAGCATGGCCACCTGCTCTGGGTATGACACATGCTTTCTCCAAATCTGAATCCATCTCAGTCATTTCTTCCAGGTCTGTACTATCAGCCTCCAAAAGCTGAAGGACATTCGAATCTGTTCCCTGGTCTGCATCTTTACAATCGCTGGGCAACCCTCCAAAAATGGGATCTATTTCCCCTGGCAGCTGAGATCCTTCTGAGATGGAGTCGGAGCAGCCAGGACTGGGAGGTCGCATGGGCTCCTGCTCCGCAGCTTGCAACCTGTGCTGCAGCCAGACGATCTCCGCAGCCATTCGGACGTTTTCCTTCACAGCTTGCTCGTGCACTTTCTGCAGATTTAAGAGGACATCTGCATCATCTCCCAGAGGCACCATACCACAGAAAGAAGCAATTTTGCTCTTTGCTTTTGCATACTCATTTTCTAGGACCCTATAATGATTTTGTAGTGCGGAAAAACTATGGGCCTCCCACTGCAATTTCTGTATCTTCTCTTGAAGGTCTGAGATTTCCAGACTCATCTCAGCCTTTTCTGATTCTGCTCTTATGCAAATGTCTTTGTTTAAACTCTCCAAAACAAGAAGTTTGGAATTGAGTTCTTCTTTCTCTTGCTTATGTTCGCTGTCAAGCCTCTCCAGCTTTTGCCTAAACAGCTTCCCATCTTCCTCCACCGCAGATAGAAGCTCTTCTTTGTTCTTTAGCTCTTTTTCGTGGTCATTTTGGAGTTTTTTTATTTCATCATTCAGCTTTTTCTCTTGCTTCTCAGCAGCATTCCTCAGGTCTCGCAGCTCCTTCTGAAGCTGCTCTCTCTCGCACACAAGCTTGTTCACTTCTTCCTTGAAGTTTTTCTCCATGAGCTCTTTCTCCTGTGTCAGGGCAGAACAAACAGCCTTTTCCTTTGCCAGGCTTTGCTTCAGTTGCTCATGAGCTTCCGCAACCTCCTGAGCAATTTCATCCTTTTCAAACTCCCACTGAGATTTCTCCTCTCTTTGCTGTTCGGCAAGTTCATGCAACTCTCGATGGTAACGTTCTTCCAGATTTTGGATTATTTCTTCGTATTTATTCACAAGTGTTTGTGTGTCGACAGAAAAGTGACTTTCTGCATGAGATGCTCTTCTGTTATAGTCACTTTCCATTTTTTTCCTAAATATGGTTAACATAATATATTACTAAACTCTGGGCTAACTCAAAGAGATTCAAAAGGCTTTTTTGGCTGAATAAAACAAGCTGAAAAATTACTTTTTCACAGAGTTGTAGATGACGTAATGTTTTTAAGAGCCAAAGTTAAATTCGAGGCAATTTGTTGAAACTTCAAAAATAACAATCTAGCTGCCTTGGAAAGCGTACACTCATGAAACGTCCTCAGAAGATGTTTTATGTACAATGTATGCCCTTCTGTTCTTTTGATCATATTTGTAGGGCAGATTTCTTACCCCATCTCTCCCTGCCACCCCAGGATAGTTTGTTTCTTTTGACACTCTGTCCTGGATAAAAGCATTTACCAGCCATCCCTTTACTTCTTCAGAAAAGAACTCTGAAAACCCACATGCTTTAAAGTACAAAGCAGAGATTTGTAATGCACAGGGCTCCTGAACAGAGCTCAAGTTAACGATGCCTGGTTATGCTTTAACACTATTGTTGCCTCTGGGTGAGCTAAAAATCGATATAAATATCTGCTGGAGAAAGGGCAGAAGAAAAAGCCCCTGGGTAGCAGCCCAGTGTTCTGGAATAAAACAGGGAATAGCACCGCAGTTAGTACACTTGAATTAACCATCAGGAGTCATTTCTGCACCGGGTTCACCTTGGTCACCACGCCAAGCCACCAAGGTCAGCGTACACCACTACTGTCGCCACCAGCAGTGACACTCACCTTTCCTCCTCCAGCTCCTGCTCGTGCTTTCTCAGCAGCTCTTGCTGGAGTTCTTCCTTCTCCAGGGCATGCACCTCTGCCATCCTCTTCAGCTGCTCGTGAAAGCCACATTCCAGCTCTCCCTTCTCTTCCTGCAGTGTCTGCACCAAAACTCTCATTTTTTCTTTCACCCAGACACCACTTTGAATCAGTTCTTCCCGTTCTTGACTAAACTTCTCTTTTACCTCTTCCAGTCTGGCTCTAACGTCTTCTTCATGCTCCTGCCTCAATAGTTCTTGCAGATTGGCTTTTTCCTCATCAAAACTAATTTGTAATTTATTTTTCTCATCATTATATTTACAGTCAAGCTTTTCTTGCTGTTCTCTGAGCGCTGCCGCCTCTCCTTGCAGTTCCACAATTTGGTTTTTAAGGCCCGTTATTTGCTTTTCCATGACGTGCATCTCCTCAGTGTACTTCTTCCTCATATCCTCTTGCTCTTTCTCACAGTGGATTTTTGTCTCATCCAGCTGCTTTTTGTAATGGCTCACCTGCAAAAAGGAAAACAGATTGGTTTGTTTTCTACATGATGTTCTACATAGATGCTTTTTCTACATCGCTGTAGTGTATTTCCATATATTCTACAGAATATTTTGATTTACACATTAGCATCTTATATCGATTTCCCCTGCAAAGAATGCTGAAGTGCTCAGCTTAATTTCATACTGGGATAAAGACGATTATTATGTAGAAGCCAGTGAAATTCACGCTTTTCCATTAAGCAAATTTGTGAAAAGAGAAGCCATTAACAACTTTTTAGTTCTAAGTCAAATTGCAAATGGACTCTTCTTATTTCACTGATTGCTTTTTCAAAAGCTTTCCCAAATAAAGAGCCAGATAAGGTGTGGGGTTTTTTTTGTTTGTTTTTTCAGAGAAGTGATACGAGACAAACCCTTAAGGAAGAGTAATGATTTGGGGGTAATATTTTCTCAGCCCCCTTTTACCACTCCCATCCCAGCTTTGTCACAACACAGTTTCAGTGTACGTGTGTTATGCCATACATGAAATTAATAGATTATACTTCTATAACCATTATAATTATATAATTATCTCTCATCTAGAGGTGGGTACTGGTCTGACAGATGCAGTGGAAGCCTGATGGTACCCTTTACTTCTGGTCCTGAACTGACTCCTGCAGAACAAGATATTTGGAGATATTTCCGCCCACATGGGAAGATTAACCTGCAGATGGACACTTGAAGTGGGGAGCTGGCTACTCTCTTAACAGCAGAGTTTCCATACTCCCACAGCACAGATCGTGTTTCAGCGCAAGCATAGCATTTAGCAACGCAGACTCCTGCCAGCAGCCTTTCTAACCCGCAATTATCCCGTGCCAGTGGGAATGAAGTGGCTAATTCAGATGCAGCAGGGTTTCCAGACAGGAAATGCAACACTGCCTTGGAAAGCCTCGCTGCTCTCTCATTAGCCAGTGGGTGGTGTGAGGATCTATTGCAGCACTCATTCAGCCCTTTCCAGCACCTCTCCATCACACAGCAACATGCAGAAGGAGCGGGGAAGGGAGAAGCTTAGATTCACAGAGAGGTTGTAAGCTGACCAGGAATAAAAGATCATTCTCCAAGATCATCCCACTTGGATGAAGAGGCTGGAAAAGTTGTGAAGGTTTAAGTGAAAATATCTTACTGTGTCTTCCAGCTCCTGTTTGAGGTGATGTAGATCCCTGTGATGTTGCTCCTTCATTTGTTCAATAGCCATTTCTGCCTCTATGCTCATATTTAACGGGTTGCAGTCTTCTGAACCAAGTCCTTTAAAAATAATAATGATATACATATTCTTGAAGCCCAAAGAGATACATTCTCAACAGAATCATTTCATCGATTTAAATTTGTGTAGGCAGCTACTTGAAGCTCTCAAACTCCCATCACACATGCAGAGAAGAAACTGCAAACATTAATTTCAGCTTTGAATATAGTACAGCAGCCGTATTCCACTTAAATAAAAGAACAGAGGGGGTGGCTGAGCCTCACTGGGAAGACTTGGGAAAGTTTTTATGTTATTTCCTCTAAGATGTTATCATAGCTACCTACAGCACAGAAGTTGGTCATACAGGAGATGGGCTTTACCTTGGTCAGGCTCAATGCCACTGTTGCCATGACTTTTCATATCCATGTCGAACTCTTCTGACAGGGAATTTTTCAGCGAAGGCCTGAGCACTTTGCCTTGGGCACGGTACTCCTCCAGCTCCGAGTGCAGCTCATCTATCTGGTCCTGCAGCTCCTGAGAGGGGCGAGAAAGAAGCTTGAATGTAAGCAACCGAGGCAGTTTAGCATCTGTACATCAGCACACTCTCATGATGAGACATTTAGGAGGGAATCACAGTAGGTAAAGACTTGTCAGTAATCCTGCCATCATGCCACAGTTAGTCATCCTCCTATCAGCAAAACAACACCCTTTCTCCAGGTTCCAAACAGGGCAACTAACCAATGTGTTTCTTCCTAAAAGAGCAGAACCTTCATCGGACTGACAGCCTGCATATATTCTTGCCTCTAAATTATAGCGTGCTCCAGGACCTTTCACTTTATTCCTTCTTCCTATGACCTTTTTTAAACAGCAGCTTAGGAACATTTTCAAACAGTCAAGAAATATCTCCTCAAACACCATCTACTTGAAAAAAAAAAAAATAAAATCAGAAGGCAAAAGACCAAATTAGGAAAGAGATACCCTCATTACTGCGTTTACCATCTGGTACTTCTGCCCACTTGCCAGCGGAACACCCCCAGTGTTTGTGCCAAATGCCACACGCTCAGCTCCACGAACAGCATTTATTGAGGAAAATTAATCCCTACATGTGTAAACACACAATTCTGCAGATTTGGAAGGTTCAGAAAGTGAACCCTGAATATTGATTCATCTCTGCCAGTACTCAAAAAAGAGAAAGTCAATTGGATATTGAGCAACATCTTATCGAGAAGTATCAATCAACAAAAATTTCTAGACAATCTTTGCTTTTAAACCGCAACTTCCTAAGAGCTACCACGCTGCTTCATATTAGACAGCCTTTTGCCAAGGTAGTCCTTTACTGACTGAAAAGGATCATGCAGAACAGATGAGCTGAATGCTGGTAACCACTGTAGTCATCAGAAAATAGATCTGTAAAGAGCCACACAAAATTTGGGGAGGAGAAGACAAGTTTTGCATTTTCAGTTTTATTTTAAGAAAATACTACTGCTCTGGAAACTACCAAAACTCGGGTATATCTTACTTATGCTGTTAGTTCTCACATTTCAAATTACAATTCAACATCGAATTCAAATTAGGACAACGCCTATTTCATAAATCAAAAAAGCTCCATAGTCCCTATCCCAGCCCACCCTTGGGGTATCTCATCCTCTTAGCTCAGCCAGTTGCCTTTGCAGCACGAGCTTTCTACCCCCCAAAAACTTGGATTAATTTTAAAAAGCTGTTGCATAGGAAAAAAACAGCAGTGCTGCTCTGGACTGCTGTTTGCAGTGAGGACATCCTTGGTGAACACGGGCACGCGGGCACCAGGTCTCCAGCCCTGGGCTCCACTTACTCTGCACTGCCGCTCGTACTCGCTTCTCATCTGCGCCAGTCTCTCCTCCTGCAGGAAAAACTCCGCGCTGCTGGGATCCAGGTCACCAAACTGAAACAGCATGAATGGGATCCAGTCACTCTTCCACCAAACCACCCTGCTCATCACAGCCTGGATGCCTTTCACAAGCAGTCCTGCAGCCTGCGCTCTCTCCCTTTTTTTTTTTTCATTTTTTATTTATTTTATTTTAAATACAGAAGCCCTGCTTCCCTGCTGGCAGAGGACAATGAGCAGCCTCCCTAACAAATACAACCTGCTATCTCACCGTAGCTCTCATGCTAACTTTGATTTCAAACCACAGCTTTCTAGCTGAGCATAGGCACATCTCTAGTTTGATAAATAATCCCAACTTTAAAGAAGCCTGGAAAAAACAGATGCTGGGTGAGAATCCCAGGATATGAGACTTAGTCTATAGATGCAATTATAGTATTGTAATAAATAATTGTTCACCTCGATTTTCACCTAAGTTTAGCAGAGATGCCAGGTAACACTTAACACCTTGTGCATCATCTTCCCTAGAAAGGACCTGCACGTTGGGTCTATCCAAAACTGTGTGCTGGGGAAAACATCTCTGGAAATCTGGGGGATGGTTGCTTGACTGTAAGGCTCCCTACTGTTTGTTAATACAATACTACAGCTAAGGTGGGAGTATCTTTAATTTCCTTAACTGGAAGTCAATCAGGCAGTCCATGTCAACAAGGTAGACTGTGCCTTGGTCACATCTGGATGGGGACTCCAAGAGCATCCAGCTATTAGTTAAATTGGCAGCTTGAGTGTAGTAACTGAAAAGCAATTTAATTCTGGAAGCACAGTGAGAAGAGGAGGATTTACCTTCTCAGCCAGGACGTTTTCCAAGTTCCTCTGCAGCTTGCTTGCCAAACTTTCATACTCGGCCAGTTTTTCTCCTGTTTCCAATAGTTCACTTTCAAGGCGGCTGTTTTCCTGGACAAAACAAACCCGAACAGCCTCAGCATTTGGAGAAGGAAAACATTAGCACGTGGTAACTCATTAGAAAAGAATCAAGTCAGAGCACGACGCTGCTACAAGCTTCAGCCAAAGACAGGAATTCTGAATCCACACACACAACCCCTCTTTCCACAGGAAAAGAGCAACTTCTGATGCTGTTTGTAAGATAATACCATTACCATTAATTTTTGCTTGGTTTAAAGAATTTAAGTTATTTGGTTATGCAGCTGTTGGATTCAGAAAAAAGTTGTGACTTAAGTACCTAAAAAAAGTTGGAAAATTATGTGAATCTGTGGGGTCATGGGTGAATGATACCATTGCATTAGATAGCAAATCATTTATTCAAAGGCGTAACAGCAAACTTCTTCCTTTAGAGATTTTTTTTTTCTTAAGCAATATTCTAAGCTTCATCAAGACACATCTCCTGGCTGGACAGCCAAACAGCCAGCAAGGCAGACAGCCCATCCAACAGCTGTACAAATGCACGTGCTGCACATGATGGCAGCAGAGATTTGAAATGGAGCCTTACAAATCCAAGCAGTAAAACAATTCTCATGGATACACCTCTATCTTAGCACTAAAATTACTTTTAACTAGCTCAACATGCACTGTAACACATCGTCTCAACAAGGACCATGTTGCAAGCATTGCTCCCCGCATCCGGGCATCCTTGCCTTTTGGGGAAAAATTCTGGGTGCATTTAACCCCGTTACCTTCAGGGAAAGGGTGAGGCGGTCCAGCATATAGTTCTCATCTGTTTTCAGCTTTTCTATCTCCTGCTCCAGCTCCAGCCGCTGTTTATTAGCCTGCTGCAAGATTTGCTCCCGCTCTCTTCGGAGCTCGTTCTTTAAAGCTGCAATTCGTTCCTTGTACTCCTCGTCCAGCTTCCTACAAAGGCATTAGAGATCAGAAGAGCTCGTAAGAGAGGTAAGAAGAGCTCGTATGAAGAAGCAGGCAGCAGATACTGCTGAGAGTGAAGCTTGGTGGTAATCAGCAGGCACGAAGCCATTCCCTCCATCACAGGTGGATGGGGACACCATACCTGAGGTTGTACTCGTTCCTGCGCTCAATCGCAGCGTGGTGGTCATCCACTTCGGAGGCCATCAGGGATTTCAGCTTTTCAGCTTTTTCCAGGTCCAACCGCAGCTTCTCTTTCTCTCTGGCCACTTGGTCAACCCTCTCCCTAGGGTAAGCACAGCCAGCCTGGGTTAGGTGACCCCTCCCAGATTCCTCAAAGAAGGTATTCACAAGAGGTTTGTCAGAGAAGAACAGCTCGGAAAGCTCTCCAAGAGTCTTTTATCATCAACTGCATTAGTCACTAGCTATGAACTTGCACACATAGCTCTGGATCTGTCTTGATATCCCCATAAGTCCCAAGACCTTAACACATGGACTCCTCAGCTGTGGTCTAGCCCGCCCCGAACTGCAGCACTATGCCATGTTGCCAGGCCACTTTCTGCCCCATTTACTCAGTTCTAAGCTGAAAGAGGGGAGATGGAGATGAGATGTGAGGAAGAAATGTTTTCCTGTGCGGGGGGTGAGGCAGTGGCCCAGGTTGCCCAGAGAAGCTGTGGATGCCCCATCCCTGGAGGGGTTCAAGGCCAGGCTGGATGAGGCTTTGGGCAACCTGGGCTGGTGGGAGGTGTCCCTGCCCATGGCAGGGGGTGGCACTGGATGGGCTTTAAGGTCCCTTCCAACCCAAACCATTCGGTGATTCTATGATTTTATTACCTTTACCACTTCATCCTTACGCTACGTCCAATCTGGTTTTGATTGCAAGTTTGTAAGATCTACATCTCCTGAGGCTTCATACAAGCAAAGTGGGCAGCTTGGAAGTACAAGTGGTAAGACAACAAGTACCAGGACACAGTCTTAATGACCAGCAAAAGTCATCTATCATATCGCATGGAGCTGGAGGCATAAGCTGATAAACATCTAAACTATTCACAGATATAGAGCACAAACAAAACCCCACTAACAACTGGAGCGTGTGTACGCGGCAGATGGATGCAAGAGTTACAGAACAGGAATGAACTGATGCAAAACTGATGATGCAGGGCAATGGTCCCTTAAGTGGGGTGGACAAGATGATCCACTGGTGCGTGGAAAGAAATATTTGAGCTTCAGTAGTACATGTATATAATTCATAAATTAATAAATGTACATACAGAGAAATGTTTCCCCATCTCCTCCACTCTCTCACTGGAGCAGCCTGCATAGCAAGTCCAGTGCCAAGTCAGACTGTGTTGACTTTCAAATGAAAAAAAAAGGGGGGGTGCATGGTGTTGTTGTACCTCACCCACACCCCTCTCGCACGGTAAAACCTCTGTAACACTACTGCAAGGAATCAGTTAGGATTAAAGGTACTGCTGATCAAATTGCACCAGCCTCTGTCTCAAGGTTTGCATTCCCTGGCCATCAATGACCACTGCAGACCGCAGAGCGGGGCTGGAAACAGCCCCCTGCTTTTATTTTTTATTTTTTTTAATATATTTTGTCTGCAATACTTGGGTTTGAGTGTTTTTCCCATGCAAAATGAGAGAGTTTACAGTTTCTGACCAGGCTAGCAGAGAACCTAGCCTTCCAGTGGGACATCAGTCCCCCTTGGAGAGGTGCTATGAGCTGCCATTAATCAGTTGCTAAAAAAGCTCCTGCTTGGCAAAATGAAGAGGGCAACGAGGAAGAGGCAGAGCCAGCGATCCTGGTGACTTACAGCAAGTGTCTGATCTCCGTTTTGAAGCTCGCCAGAGCTGCCTGGTGGACTCCATTCTTGGTTATTAAAAGCTCATTTTCCAGCGCCAGTGTCAGCTCTGTCAAGTTCACCTTCCCATCCAAGCTGAAATCCAAAGCCTGCAGAACAACACATCGTTAGAGCAGAACAAGCCTTCCTACCCTGCAGGAGCCTGCAGACACTCGTACATGAAGTGACAGAATAAAATGAGGAGGCTCAGAAAAGATCTTGGCTTGCTGATTAATCTGTCACCGATGCCTCTGGGGCAATAAACCAGACATCTCTGCCACCTTCCTACGAGCTGCTGCCAGCCGTGGAGGTGGAAAGTGCCCTGGTTGTGCTGCAAGAGCAACAGGAAATTAAGCCCACGCCTGATTAAAAGTATGAATTCTCTAGTGGACCTAACTACACCAGCCTTTTTACATATTCAAATGCTGCAAGAAAGTGGTTGAAAATGTTCATGTTAAACAAAACCAGCTCCTGCATTAGAGACAACACAGAAGCAGCCTTGTGGGAGGTATTTCATAGCAAAGATCTCCCCTCTTTGAAAAGAAATTATCAGCATCTGCTTGGAATTTCCTTCAAAGCAGAGCACAGAAGGGCTAGTGGTGGGGCTGAAGCACTGCAAACGCTGGAGAAGCCACCCCAGTGGCACCAGTAACAAAGCAAGCTACCAGTGGAAAGCAACAAGCAGAAGAGAAGGTAAAGGCGGACCACACCAGGCTGGTGAAAGCAGAACCAGGTTATCAAGTGAGCTTTAAAGCCTGAGCAATGGCAGAGCTTATTTACAACCTGGATGTTCAATATCCATTAAACACCAAGAGAAATCTGCCCTCACCGCTGCCGGGAAGCCAGCGATGGTCTCAAAACAGACAGGTGAAATTATCTATTCCCCATCCACGAGATGGACAGGGATGGGGTTTACTTCAGGTATCTGACCTGCAGCCCACATTACCCTTTTACTCTGTGTAATAAAACACTAATTACTGGGCAGGGTTTCAAGTGCAGTCCTCCACCTCAGCACAAGCAATAATTCAGGTCATCCCAGTGCTAAAAGGTTTGCAAGTGCAGCTATTCAGCGAGGTAAAGGAACTAAATTGCATTCTACAAATATAGGTGACCTCTTTGAGCTAAGCTGGAAGTCACGTTACATTTTTATCATTAACTTCTAGCTCTCCGGGATGCACCATCTTGTCAATAAAGGAAATGATTGGAAATTTCCCAGAAGAGTTAGACCCTTGTTGCTAGCACTGGAAATTTTAAAGGGGGGGAAAAAATTAATCCAGCTACAGTCCAGCAGCCCACACTGGGGATAAAAAAAAAAAAAAGAAAAAATAAAAGGAGCGAATTGAATTAATCCACATACAAGCCAGCCGCCCACACTGGGGATAAAAAAAAAAAAAGAAAAATTAAAAGGAGTGAGATGGAGCTGCTTGTTACCTTCAGGATCTCCTGGCTGTTCTCTACGCCCTCTTGGTGCCAGCAGTCGAGGACGCTCTCCACGCAGCCGTAGCCCATCCCATCGTCCAGGCTGGAGAAGAGGCAGAAGCCGATGGTGCTGGGCATGGCCGAAGGGGTGGTCATGCGCCGTCCGCTCTCATCGAAGGACTGCCAGGAAAGGGGAGAGGGTGTGATGGAGCACAGGCAGAGCCAGGCATCTGGCCACCCCGCGACGAGAAAGGCTTAGAAACGTAATTTTGCTAACGGTACTCTGGAGATTAAGGATTAAGGTCTGCTTTTCCTTGCTGCCAAGAAAATACCCAGCAGGAGTACTGCCTCTGACCTCAGGGCACCGCAGCGCAGCCAGGCACTTTGGATTTAGAATAAATCCTAGGAGCAACAGATTCAGAGCTGTCCTCATCGCTCCAAAATTTTTTTCTTCTGGCTTTTTTTTTGGTTTTAAGTGTCACCTCCCCTAAAAAAGAACGCAGGGAGCATAGGCACAGGTGCTTTTGCTATAGCTCCCAACTTTCAGGCAAAGATAGGTAGCAGATTTCAAACTCCCTCTCAAAAGAAAAAAAAATTCAAGAGATATGGGACCTGCATGCCCACAGTCTCCAGTGTACCCCAGGCCACTGCTTCCCCCTGCATCCAGTTTATACAATTTACTTACTGGACTTCACAGCTTGCAAGAGCCATCTCCAAGCCACTCTGCTTTAAACAGGAGCCATCTCCCCTTTATTGTGGGGGTGTTTTCTGCTTTATCCCCCACGCACCCTGACACATCCAGGGGAAACCCACAGCAGCTCTCACTTGGGGCAAATGTGGAGGAAGCAATGTGGACACAAGCCCAGGATTTCTCCCCCTCCTCTTGCTTTTACCCTGGGATCCTCCTGGTTTCTCACCTGCATGGAGAGGTGTCGTTTCAGCTGTCTGTATGGAGTAGACGCTGAGGGGGTCAGCGACTTTCCGTTTTTAAACAAGCCGTAGAAGAAGTCCTCTACGCTCATGGTGCCATCTTGCTCTAGGTTATGGAGCACATCTTCAAGCACCTGCAAGCAGCAAGGGGTAGAAATCACATCTGCTATTCCCAAAAACCACCATGGTAACAATTTGGCACAGTAGAAAACATCCTATTCCCAAGGCTCTAAAAAAACCCAAAAAACTGTAAAGCAAAAGAGTTTCTGTCCTTCAGACAGAAAACTGCAGAGCCACATACACTCTGAAAATCCTGCCTGTAAAAGCGGGTGAGCTCCTGGTCATCTTGGAGCATCTTGCAAGGCAGGGTGACCTCAGGAATTCAGTGCAAGGTAGTGAGACAGATGCCAAAAGCCCAGCAGCTTGTGAAGTGACGGGGCAAAAAAAACCTCCATGCTAAAACACTGCAAGGTTATAATAATCTGTTTTATGCTTCAGGGCAGTCTGCTTTCTGAAATGCAAGACCAACCTTATGAGGACCAGAGATGTAACGATTAGTCCCTTGCTACTTCTTTGTCTACTTTTTTTTAAAATTTTTTCCATTTTCTGCTTTCATATACTGAGAACATTTTGTTGCAAATGCTGCAAAGGAATACCTGCTCAGAAACATGTTTTACGAAGGAAATGATTACAAGCTATGTTATTTTAAGATGCAAAACAGTCTGAGTATTTTTTTTTTTTTAAACTAAATCCTAAATTGACAGTAGACTTTTTTTTACTAAAGGAATAATTTTCTTGTGGACTCTTCCTGGAGGACAGAAACTGCCCACAGGCCTTCTCAGAGACAAAAACAACCATATATGAATATTTTCACCCATATTTACAGTCTAGCTGGAAGATTTCTGGGATTAAGGAGGCATGCTTGGAATCTAGGATATGTTTTTAAATTCCAGTTTACTCCGCGATTGCATGAGAAGACACGCACGCTACGGTATCGGCAAAGCTGGCAGCTGCCTTCTCCTAGAGCAGCCTCCCACGTCTGATGGTTCGACACCAACAAACTCGCTGAAAAGCCGCGAGCTGGAGCTGAAAACCGCTTTCCAAGCAGCAAACCTGTTAACCAGCACTTGTGCTTTAGGCTTGTGGTCAACCGCCGAACAGACTTTGTGGGGGCCACAGTAAAACCCAGGTGCATGCCGTGGCCACTCACCTCCCCGGCCGCCGCTTGGAGCCTGTACTGCTCACAAATGGAGATGAGCTTTTTGCGGTTCAGGTGGCCGTCCCTGGTGATGCCGAGGTGCTCGCAGACCTCCTGTAGTTTCTCCTCTATCCAGTCCGGGGTGGGCAGCGATGCTCCAGGGGAAGCGTTCAGGTCATCTGGGTTCCAGAAGCGCAGCTGCCCTGGAAACGGGGGGAAACTGCTCTGGCTGCTGCCCATTCGCTGCACACCAGTGACCACCAGAAGACCTGGGGGTTCTGCACATCACTGCTGTGGTGGGCAGAGCTTCTCTCCTTGCTCATCAGATCCCACCAGACCACCTGCCTGACCTCATCCTGCCCAGAGCACCCTTGTGATTTTGGGGCATGGCTACCAGCACCAGCATGGCCATTGGACTCTACCAGGAGGAGCAGATCCTGCTCATGCTTAACCTGCATGTGCCACCACAGGGAGGGAACGCCGCGTCCAGACGCGGGGAGAGCCGCAGCCAGGACCATGGCCAGGGGGATCTCTGGGAACACGGATGAGTCCAGTGGCCAACCTGGGCTGGTGGCATGGTGAAGCACAGGGAAGCACAGCCCTGCCAGCTCTGCTCCTGGCATGGATGGAGAAGGGACCCCTCATCTTCTGAGAAGTTGTGGGATCAAGGGAGAGGACTGAGCAAGTTGCATATCCATATATACCTTGACCAGGTCATGAACTTCAGTGGTTGTGGGTCTCCATAAGTGTCCCAGGTAGAGCTGCCTAAACTCCCATCCCCTTTGCATGCAAACTGCAGAGTATGTTTTGATCTAAGTACTTCCAAACATTCCTTCAGGGAAAGAAGAAAAATAAACAATAGCCTTCGGCTCAACGCATTTCCTCTACCTCCAGCAAATGCCTGGAGTGCAGTGTCACCCCGCTGGAAACGCTCGAAGAGCTATGAGACACAAAACAGCTTGCTCAGCTGCAAGGCCACCTCCTTGGCTTTGCCACCTCATCCTGGGGCTGGAAAAGCAGCTTTTAGGGCAAAAACTTGGTCTTGTTGGACAGGGTAGGGGATAGAGAGCAGCTGACATACGGAAGAGGTGTTGAAGCAATTCCAAGCTGCATGACTTAGTTATAAACACGCCTTTGCGTGCTGCGGGTTGTGCCGAGGGTTAGTGCCATCGCCTGCCAGCCCGGTGACAGGAGCAGCACTCGGAGGAGCTCGCTGTGACACTGTCAGCTCATACTGCTGGGTCCCCTTCGAGCATCCCTGCCTGAACCGGCAGTAGGACATCTTTGGCCACATCCCAGAGCAGAGCAGGACGTGTCCCACTGCTGTCCTTGCTCAGTCCCCAAGCCCTGCAAGCTGTGTCCAGGTGGGACAAGGAGCCTCTCTGCACCCTGAGGGTCTCCCTGCTCTCCCTTCCAGGACAATTAGGAAACAGTTAATGACTGGTCCGTGCTGACATCTAGTGCCTACCGTGTTCCATTACAGGCAGCACCCTGCAGCCCCCGGGACAGGACAGGGAACCAGGACCAGGACCAGCCCCAGCTGCTGCTCGGGGGGAGCTGGGGTTGGGGAGACCAGGAGCACCCACAGCAGAGCAGCCTCTGCACTGGACAGGAGGAAGAAAAAAGGGCAGAGAGGGTAAACCACAAGACTATGCCCTCCAAGGAGCCCCGCTTTAGCTTTCATTCCCATCTCGGGGCTTGCTTGCCGCATGTGCGCCTTCCTGAGCTCTCTACAGCTCAGCACATCCAGCTGGTCTGACACCATCTTAGTGTGTTCCTCTGATTTCAGCTTCAAAGCTGACGAGAGAATAAACCCATACAAGTGCTGCTGTTTGCTCTTACCCTCAGCCTCGTACTCCTCGCTGTCTCGTGTCTTCCAGTGCTGGGAAGAAAACAAAAGGTTTCTGAGTTATTACTATTGCAAGACATCACCCATATGAAAGAGACTCTGCAATCAGCATCAAACAAGCGACAGGGCTCCAGCAATGCTGTCAGGCTTTCATCTCCCTGCTCCCCGCAGGCTGGGCTGGCAATCCACGGCCCTTTGATGCTGCCCATTTCTGGCAGGCAAGGTGCTTCAGTGGGGATAACCCACAGCTGCGGCGAAAGATGCCCGAATGACCCATGAGAGGTGGCAGATCCAAATCTGGCAGGTTGATGGGGAGGGAGGGATTTGTCCTCCAAGAAATCCAAGCTGATTGTTTTAGATGTATTAATGGTCGAGATGACGATGATGCAGGGAAGAGTGCGAGCTGCATATAGGTACTGCTTGATTTTGCGTTTTCCTTTCCTTCCAGCACCCTATTTTCCCATTGCAGAATGGCTACCTGCAGCCCCTGCAGATCCAATACAGAGCCAGCCTGCAAGCCAGGACACGAGCACAGCACTCTTTGAGTCTCAAACATTCCTTGGCAGAAACCAACCCCTGGAAGCCAACGCCACCCCATGGCCCTGCTCCGTGTGTCACCCACATCAGAGGCAGAGCCTGGGTGACCTGTGCACCAGGGGACACACATCCACAGCAGGTAATTTACAATGAACCCATAAGCGTGATGGGGACAAAGAATCACAGAATGGTTTGGGTTGGAAGGGACCTTAAAGCCCATCCAGTGCCACCCCCTGCCATGGGCAGGGACACCTCCCACCAGCCCAGGTTGCCCAAAGCCTCATCCAGCCTGGCCTTGAACCCCTCCAGGGATGGGGCATCCACAGCTTCTTCCCCAGAGAATCCACAACATCTGCTCCCAGAGCACATGTGACCTGGAAAACGAAGCTTTTGCTGCTTTATGCTTTTTCCCTTTTGACAAGGGGCACCCACCTGCCCGCAGAGCTCGAGGGCCAGCAGCCCGCACGCAGCCAAGCCCACTCCAAAACACCTCCACTGACTGTAGCTCTAGGCTAGCTAGAGAGAAAAAAAAAAAACCACACACGAAAAAACCCCCAAACATACTCTTTACTGGTCTTAAGCCATCGTACTTCCTCTGTGGCAATACCACATCAGCTCAGGCAGCGCCACGAGCAGGGCAGAAGTATGTTGTTTAAAATGATTTCCCCATGTTCTACATGTTGTCTTGTCTCTGCCACCCTTGTACCAGCCGAGGGTATTTACTCGCATGCAATGCTCAGTGATATTAATTTCTGCTTTAGCAACAGCATCGGCAGATGTTCCTTCTCCAGTGTTACAAGTGGATACTTCCCCACGCACGTGACTGATGGATTTGAAGTCAAAGTCACCCAGGACATAAAGAGGCTCTAAATCATCATAGAAAAGTTCAATACATCTCATTCAGATTACAGCTAAAAGCCATTAATCTACAATGTTACCATGGGAACTGGATTAGGTCATTGGACTTTTTTTTTTTAGCTCTGCTGCTTCCTCCTGTTGGCAGCTGCTGTGGCACCTCGATGTACCCCTCTGCTTTTGGGGCCACTCACCGGGCAGGAACTGGGGAGAGCCTTGGATGGAGAGCGGGGCTTAACCTTCGCTTTCCCAGCCAGGCAGGGCTGGATGTTCTGGACAACGCCAAAAAATATACATAATATTGCACTAGAAAGCTGCAGACTTTGGCCCAGACAAGTGCTCTCCTGCTGGCACCACCATCGAGGCATTCATGTGGGAGATTCCCAGTTTTTTAAACCATCAGGACAAGCACACAAAAAGCAGGAGCTGAGGCAACAGGCACCCTCACGTTACCATCCGCAAAGGCAGAAAAAGAGCACATGTTCCCAAAAATGCACGAGCTGATGCCATCCCAGCCCACAAGTGCCTGTACATATGCAACAGACAACTTTCTGCTGGGAGAAGGTATATTTGGGTGCCAGAGATACCACCCTACTCTGATCCTTGTCCTTGGAGGGGGGACACCAAGGCAATGATGCTCAGAAAGGGGGGTCCACTGCTGTGTCCAAGTCTTTTTTGCATAAGGAACATATTTATAGAGAACCAATCTATATACATTTATAGAGAAACAACATATATGTTTATATTGAATCAGATCTAAACCATTTAGCACCAGACTCTCCCACTTCTTTAAGCAACCTGGTCCAGTGGGAGGTGTCCCTGCCCATGGCAGGGGTTGGAACTGGATGATCTCTAAGGTCCCTTCGAACCCAAACCATTCTGTGGTTCTATAAGGACGTGCCTCAAAAGCAAGGACCCCAAACCACAGCACACAGTAACTCCATAAATACCAACAAGCTGAAGAGGCTGAACACAACAGGGGCTGCAGGCTGGTAACCCACTGCCGCCACCCCTGGGGAGCTCGTGTGACCTCCCCTCCCTGTGCCAGAGCCCCGTGGCAGAGGGAGAGTGGTTTCCTTTGTGCAGCGAGGGCTGAGGGTCAGCCACCGCCAGCAGGAGGACAAAGAGGGGCTGGGGGGGGCGTGGGGGGCCGGAGCATCCCGATGTCAGGCATGGCATTGTTTCCCCAGCCCTGGTGGTGCTACAGCTGGATGGGGGTCACACATCGGCGGGCTGCGTGCGAGAACGGAGAACCCAGGAATGCATTATTATTTGGGCAGGCGCGTGCTTGGCCGGGCTGAGGAGCAGATGGCCGCAGCTTTCAATGCTCGCCGCCCTCCAGCATCTGCAGCCTGTGCCGTTTGCTCACCGTGGCCTCTCCCCATAATAAGGCAGCAACCTCTCTCCCCCCCTGCCATCTGCTTCAGCAAGACAGACCTTTGTTCTCAGCCAGAATATATTGCTAATTAAAATGACGATCAGGAGCGCACGCTGAGCCTGTTCGGCTTCGCACGCAGCAAGGTGAGCCTTCGCACCAACACCAACCACCCCGTTTTTCCCCTCTCTGGGTGCTTGACCAGAAATCTGAGCAGCCAGAGCAGACCCCAAAAGATAACAAGTCTCCACACCCCACTTTGCCAGTTGCCTTCAGCTGCAAAGCACCAGAGTCCCACTATAAATGCACTTTTGCAGGGAGCAAATGCTATCCTGAGCTGTTATCTGCAGATCCTGGCTTTACAGGACAGTTGCAGTTCAGGAGCCTCACATTTGGACCTGAAGACAAAGAGTTTCAGCCTAGAAGGTTTTGCTCTGGCCGTCCATCCCTTGCTGGAAACTACTCTATGCAGAAGCAAACGCGTGGATGTCTTGGGAATGTGTGGCTTCAGCAGGCGCTGAAGGGACAACATCACTGCTGGGGACCCACGAGCCAAAGGGTGCTGCTGTCCTACCACCAGCGTGGGGTTGGTACCCCGCGGCCACCAAACCTGCTCCCACCCAACCCTGCACCACCACCATCGCACAGAGCACCACCAGGCGTAACACAAGGCAAAACCAAAATGAAAACAAGGTCACGGCACTTCCCAGACACACTGGATCAGCTCTTGGCTGCCACAGGCTTGAAAGCCCAACAAGACCCACCATGTGCATCAAGAGTTTAGGACAAACAAGCTCAGGTGACAGCCAGAGCCAAAGATGCATGGCTACGACCACCACAAGCTTTCACATTGCATTTCTAGGTGCTTTCACGACTGCAGCTTCATCGGCAGCACATCCATAAATCCACCAAAGCTCCTCATTTCTCAATACTCATTAGCTTAGAAGCATCCATGGGGACAAACTCACACAGGTCAGAGGGAACCCCGGCATCCCTACACCATCCTCTGCTCACAGCAGGGTCAACGCTGAATTCAGACCCAGCTGCTCATTGCTTTGTCCAGTGGCACCAGGAAAGCCACTGGGGATGGAGGTCATGGAACCTCTCTGGGCAGCCGATCCCATGCACAGACCAACCCTCCAGCCTCTCCTCTCGTGTTTACCAAGACGAGAAGGGGAAGGAAGCCTCTCAGACAGAGACTGAGCCCTTCTAATTGGCACCGGTTGAAAGGAAGCACCAATTAAGCCACGCTGCCCCAGTTCTCAGGCCGGCAAAACACCCTGGGCTGGCGGCAGGCTCAGGGAATGAAGGCAGCAGTATGTTTATAGACGCAACAGGAGAAAACTGGGCAAAGGCTGTTAGTTCTGCTGAGCCCCAAAAAGTCAACTCATCAGGAGGCTTCAATAACACCCAGCATCTCAGCCCCGGGGCCCCCCAATACCTTCAAGCAACTAATTTCCATCCATACCAAGAAGATCTTCTTTTAGAGTCAAGATAGCCATGCTAATAAAATTGGAAAGGGGGGATTTGACAAATTTAGCCTGGTTTTTGCTCAAGTTGCAGGAGAATTAACCATCCCCTCCACCCCAAAAGGTGCAACAAGAGTTTCCACCAGGAGACCAACTCAGGGAGCACAGCATGGTTACCTACCAGTTGGGTTAATTGACTGACCTTGTTAATAAACTAGCCTTTTACACCTCCTTGACAGCTAAAACACAGGAGGAAGAATAGAGTGGCCTTTTCCATCAGGGGCATCGCTTTCCTGGGGGTCGTGGGCAGATTAATGCTGATTTCAAGGTCAGAGCAGCTCATGTGGCCAGCACCAGGAGATGGATGAGCATCCCTGTGGTGGCGAGAACAGGGTAAAGAAACCAGTTCTGGTGGAAAAGCTTTTCTTTGAGGATTTTTTTTTTTTAATTTTAAGCTCAGCTGCATAGGAATGACACTAGAAACCTGGAAACTTCTCCCTTGCTTCCCTCATGCAGGGTTGGGCATCCCCCTACCCAGGTGGCTGCAGAGCTCCCCCATCTCTAGGAAAGCACAGCTGAAGCCAGGAGACAGAGGAGGGGAGAAAGCAGCAGCATTTCTCCTTCCCACTGGAAAACTCCCACCGCACGCTCCTGACCATGCAACGCTGAATCAACAATACTTGGCAAACTGGGGCAGCCTGGAACAAGCCCAGCTCGCTCCAGGGAAATGCCGCTGTGGCCATATGCTGACGCAAGCCACCAAACCCAACCACTCTTCACCTTTTGATTTTCTGTTCTGGAGAAGAAAGAAGAGATTTGGGGGTTGAAAGCACAAAATGCCAAAAATTTTGATCATAAAATCAGATGGGGGGAAAAAAACCCCAAACATCTGGATTTTTGAGCAAGCATATGGACAGGCATCCATAGGGCATGGGGGCTGCCAAGAGCTGTGCAGCTCCCAGGGCGGTCAGCCTTTTCCATCGCTGCAGGAGCACACAAGTTTTTTGCTGGGGAAATAAAAAGTAGAGGACTGAAAGGAGAAGCTGGTGGCTCTGGATTTAGGGCACCGTCCCAAGACGGCTGCCTGCTGCGGAGCTCTGCCTCTCATTCCCCATCCCCTCTCCTGGAAAACACCGGAGCCGTGGACGGGTTTTTGCAGACGAGCTAATAGACAAGAACGTGCTCCTTCTGCTCGCTGAGCTCCCAGCCCACACTTCATTAGCCACAGCGTTACAGCCCTCGCTTAATTGCTGGCCTGTGCGGCAGCCAGGAGTGCGGGGAGGCCAGCGGCACCCGGTGCATGTCACCATGTCACCGCACCAGCCCGGATCCTCCCTGCCTGCCCAGAATTGGGGGATGGAGCAAGAGAGGTGCTGTCTGGCATCCCTGGGGACAAGCAAGGGTGAGCATTGCCTTCACTGGGAAGACCCCAAGGATGTCCAAACCAGGTTAGGATGGTGTGGGGAGTGGTGACATTTCGGGGGTACAGCCCAACCCAGTGCTCAGCCCCTTCCCACCCACCTCCTCGCAGCCCCTGGGGGTGATGTTCGGGGGATGTGCTTCCTCGCTCAGCGGCTCGATGACGGTCACCTCGGCAAAGTCCTCCACCGACTCCTGGAACTCCGGCAGGGACCGTCGGCCATAGCGTTTGCCACCTTTGATGTACTTGGGCTGCACTTCTGGGGAAGAATCTGTGAAATTCAAGAACAAAGCGCATCAGTAACATGATTTTTTGCAGATCCGGTTTGGCATCCCTGCGCAAAGGACTGGTTTGGTTGCAGTGTTTTAAGCATGGAATTACCACCACTGTTCCTCCCCAGCAGCTTGCTCCTCTCCAGGAGTGTCACCCTCACAGTGGTATCAGGCCTGATGGGTTGGAATAGGTCCTGCTTCCCCCAAAAAAACCCAAACCAAAACCATGCTGTTGCAAAGTGGAATTGGGGTTCTGTCTTCCCCAGTTCCCAGACCCAGTTTGCTCTGTTCACGGGATGGAGAAGAAACCCTCAACCTTGCGAACGCAGCCGCACATGGAAAGTCAATGAGGTCTCTCCTCTGTGCACTAATCTTCATTACCAGCCACGGGCAGGTTTAATTAGGGACAGTGTTGCAGTTGGGCAGCTCAAGTCTCTGGATTACAGACACCTGGGTGACCGCTGCTGCTTTCAGTGGATTTAAATCACAGCTCCCTTAAAAGCACAAAAACATCCAGGCAAGTAGAAAAGAATTGGGCAAGTTTGGAGGCAAACACCTCCCGGGGGCCAACGTGAGCAGCTGATCCGGGCAACCGTGGGGCAGGTCCCAGCTTGTGCTGTGCAACTAATGCCAACTGCAAGATGGAAATAACCCCGCGGAGCTGTCGGCTAATTACAGGGGTCTGTGTGGCTCCGCTCGCATTCCCCGGCTCCAGCTTCCCGCAGCAACCTCCTGCCTCCAGGGACTGAATTATCCGGCAGCACTCACAGACAGGGATCAAAACGAAAAATAAATAAGCACGTTTTGGGCTATTTTCAGTAAGAACCATCCAACGTCTGGAGCAGGGGGCAAATTAAACGCAGGACCAAATTAACCAGGGATTCAATTAGGGAAAGGCTCTCCGCCACGCTTTGTTTCAGTGTTTGTTAACCTCACCGTCAAAACCCCCCCAGGACTCGATCATCTTTCTTTTCTGACACTTGCAGCACACCGAGGCAGTGGCAAGAGCAGCAGCTTTTTAAAATTTTATTTGCAGAGCGCTCCGGTACAAAATAAATGCAAGAGTGCAATACTAATAAGGAGCAGGGAAGCTGTTCAATCGTTGACAAACGGTACACAGCAAGCAGCGGGTCTCTAAACCCCCCCTGCCCAAATGCCTCCTTGGATAATATTCCTTTAGATATGGAAGAAGGCTTCAAGCTTGTTAGAGGAAAAATATTCTGCAACTTAGCTATGCAATGAATTATAAAATACACAGGACTAGGAGTCCTTTGATTCCTCCAGCCTCACACTCCATCCATCCATATTGCAGCTCTAGGGAACAAACCCGGCGCCCGTGTTTGAACAAGGCTATTTTAACAAGATTTGCTGCAGCTGGGACTCGCCACATGAAAGTTGTGTGATGAAGTGCGCCGATAGAAAAATCGCAACGAGACAGGCTGATTAAGTAAGAGCCCGAGAACAAAAGCAAACCTTATCACTCCTATTAAAGCCTGCCCGGTGGTGAACAATCTCCATCGAGCAGCTCTCTCTGAAATGCTAATATTTGTGGCTACTCATTCCCCCATTTATTTTCTCCCTGCCCTTGCAGAATAGGGCTGGGGGGGCTTTGTTGTTTGTTTTGTTTTGTTTTTTTGAGAAATAATTTTTCTTTCTCTAAGACAAACACACCTCGACACCCATCTGTCTTTGGAAGGATGGGGGGGAAAAGAAGCTGTAATTCAGCAATAATGAAGCTATGGCTAAATTTCCTTCTGCATTTCCTAATGCTCAGAGTCTTCTTTTCAACCCCTCCCCGACAGCATGTTTAGCCCCTGCTGCAGCTGAAAATCCAGCCATCCATGGAAACACTGGTGCCCTCATGCCCTGCCACCTTGCAAGCACTTTAACAGCAAGTGGGGAATGGGAGAGCCTCCCCACTTTTGTGTTTTAAGCATTTGGAGACTGGCAGCTGATTTCTCTCTCTTTCTTTGGTCTGAGCACTTGGATGTGCTTGATTTTCCCTTGCAATTAAAAAAAAAAATAATAAGTGTGAAGCCTGAGAGCGTCCCTGGGAGAGAGAGGCAACCCTCTACATTTTGAGCAGAGCAGAAAGTTTGCTCCTGCCTTGCAAAGCTCTGACTTTGAAAGAGTCTGTGCTTGAGCCCAGCTGCCAAGGGGACCCCAGCTCTGCCACCCTGAAACACCGTTTCCCGAGCCAGGGTGCTTCCATTAATGCTGCTCTTCCCCTGCAAGCCTCCGTGCGCCTTCATGCCGTTGGCTGCCAAGTGCACGGTGCAGAACAAAGCCTCTTGTTCCATGGGCACCGCACCAGCGTACGGGACCGCATCCTGCAACCCTGTCCCTGGGAGCACAGACCCATCTCCATCACTAAAAGCTCTGAACCAGGTGAGCACAGGTCCCTCCATACGTGCAGCATCCTCTCAGCTTCTCCACCCTCCTGCTTTCCCAACCTAAACCCCCAGCACAGCGGCCGGTGCCCTTGATGCTCACACCATCCCCGGTATTTAGGGAAAGTTGAACACCATGCCAGCAAAAAAGCAGCAACCCGTGCTCCCTGCATGCTAAAAGTTCACCAAAAAGAGCAGAACTGAGTTTCTTCTTCCCAGCCAAAACTGACTGGGAAGGATGGAAAGAGCTGCTCAATCCACACATGCTTTCACAGGCACACAAGAAAACAGGAGGGAGATGTCAAAAAGTGAGGCAGATGCTCACGAGACAGCCCAGTGTGCTATTTATCCCGAACTCTGTAAAATACACCCCCATATTGAACACTGAGGGGAGGATGCTCTTGCTGGAGCCTGACCTCTGGTACCCCAGCAAGCAAGGCGAGATGCTGCTCCTCATCCCCTCGCTATTGTGTGGCTGACAAGCTGCCAAGAAAGGGAAAAAAAAGATAAAAAGAAAATAGGTCGAATCCTCCCTGTTTCCTACAGCCCTTGGCAACACGCGGGCTTAGTAAAACACACACTCCGGAGCCAGCACCTAATTAGACACCGGGGTCTGATCTGCCCCCCTGAACTGCCCCTGGGCTGGGGGCAAGAGCAGGAGCTGCCAAGGGAGCCTCTCGCCTCCCTGCCCCCAGAAAACCCCCCCGAAATCTGCATTTCACAAGAAACCCCTGATTTAAGCACTGCAGACAGAAGCATCCCTTTCCCAGCTCGCTCCCTGCCATCCATCTCGTCAGTTAAACGTCTCCATGGTTAGAGATTTACACTTGATTTTCTGCCTTTCCGCGCTAGATAAGGCATTTCCAAATCCTGCTCTGCCCTCAGACGCTTTCCCTGGGCCCAGCATCAAAGCCATGGAGCGCAGACAAAAGGGGGTTTAGAGGAGGAAGACCCTCGCCCATCGTTTAGAGGTGAAATTAATTTCTTTGCTGCTTAAGATTTGGAAGGGAGGGATCCTCTTTGCAGCAGCAGACAGCCTACCGCTGGGCAAAGCGGCTAAATCCTAATCCCTGGAGATGCCAGGTACTGTCTAAACTCCTTCTCGTCCCTATTTCACACTTTGGGCTCAGCAACCGAGATGAACAGTGGCTGCTGGGGACCTTGTCCAGGGCAGCATGACCCAAACCCAAGGCATTTTGTCCCAGAGGCATTGCTTGTGCCTAACTCACTCCCCGTCCCGATGGTGACACCGGTTTTATCCCTTATCCCCACCCAGGTCTGCTTGCAGAGCCATGTGAACAACCTTTCCCCCACAGGTGGGATTCCTGCCAGGGCATCCCCCCCATCAGCTCCCCTTTGGGAGGGCAGCTCTATGCTGGGAAGGAAAAAAACCAACCCACCAGTCCCTTGGGACCGCATGGAGGATGGCGTCAAACTCCTCTTTAATTTGTCCTGGGTGTTTCCATAATCCTGCGCTCCACCCCAGTAATCCCTCCCTATCCAGGCTTCCGACGCACAGAGCTGACTTTTTATTTGCCATAACAGGGAAGAAAAAAGCCTGATTATTTTTTTTTTCTTCCCTAATCACCCAACTGATTTTTTTTCCCCCCTTTCCCTTCCCTTAAATCTATTTTATTGTCCCCAGATCCCCCCCCCTCACTGCTACAGTGACCCACAGATAAAAAGCATCGGCAGCAGCA